TTCTATTTTGTTCCTTGGCCTTGTGACATTATTGTAGTTTTCACTATTTAATCACTATTTAAAAAACTCACTTTCTTATTATTGAAGCTCAAAAGGAGAGAATTTACAGACATTATTGTAGTTTTTCAAGCAAGTGCATAAACTATAATTACATGAAGATGGACATCAAAGGCCTTAGCTAACTCCCACAGCATTCATCTCGCCAAACATTTACTTGAGAAAGAAATGTGGATTCGTCCTGAACGAAAAACAAGAGAAATTACAACAAAAAAACATTCTACAACAAATGCTACTCCGTATTATAACACTTGGGTTTGACATCATTGATGACATGCATCACTGTGTCTCACACATGACTATATGTCACTACTAAAAAAATTGCGAATAGAGGGAGACAAGTTCGCCTCTAATTGTACAGAATCCGCCTCTAATTCAGATTTAGAGTGGAACTAGAGGCGGACTCACTTCTGCCGCTAAACACGCCGCTGCTATTTTTAGAGGCGGAAAAGTCCGCCTCTAAATTAGAGGCGGAAAAGTCAGCCTCTAAATTAGAGGCAGACTTTTCCTTTAGAGGCGGACTTTTTTGCCACTAAATTAGAGGGTGACTTCTCTGCCGCTACATATTTACTTTATTAGAGGGGGAAAACTCCGCCTCTAATTTTTTATTATTTAAAAAAATTTTTTTTATTCCAAATACTATATACAAGCATACAAAAGGGAATTCAAACATGACATTCATACAAGCATACAACTAAACCTACTTTAAAACTAGTAGGTTTGAACAAAAACCAAGACACTAGACATATGATTCTTTCAAATTTTTAAGTTAAAAAAATATCATAATTAAAACTAGTCTAAAAAAAGAATTCCACATAATTAAAAAATTAGAATAAAAATAAACCAATATATATAAACTCGAAGATCAAATTGAGGTAACAAAAACTCCATATAATTGAACAATTAGAATATTTTCATTCACATAATTGAAGAATTAAGATAATTTTGATGGACAAGCAAAGAAATTCACATAATTGAACAATTAGAGTATTTTCAAGATGAATTAAAACCTAGAAATTGGAGGGGGAGCTGAGGCGTCGGTGCGGCTGAGACGGCGGAAGATGATTTCGGGGTTGTGACCGTTTCCGGCTGATAAGCCGACGGTCGGCGGCAGGCAGAGAGGCGGGGGTGACGGCGTTGTGCTTCGCCGTGTTGAAGGCCGCTTCGGCTGGGGTGAGAGCGCAGCGAGAAACGAGAGAGATTTAGGAGAGATGGATAGTTTTTTTACTCAGTAATTGGATAAGTCAATATATTTCACACAAGTCCCACTTTTTTTATTTTTCAATTAGGGGGGAAAATTTTACCCTTTTTTAGTTTCATTTTTTGTTGTATATTTACGGATTTGGGGTATAGGGGGGAGACATCCGCCTCTATTGTGTTTGATTGTAGTGGGGGACTATTCTGCCTCTAATTTTATTTTTTTTATAAATAAATTCAAATTTTTATTTTTATCGTTGTTTTTAATTTAGCTTTAATCTCCCGGTTATATAATTGAAATTTATTTCAATTAATTGAAATTTATTTCAATTAGCTACGAAACTAGCGGCGGAAATGTTACCCACTAATGAAAATTTCAAACAGAGGGTGAATATTCCCCCGCTATTCTGCAGCTAATTAGAGGCGGAAATATCCCCCACTATTTTTTTGGAGCTGATACGCGAGATTCTAGTAGTGTGTGTACATCTATTTGTGATAAATGATATAAAATTTAGATATATTAAAACTATATCCTAAAATAAACTCATTTATATTATAATTAAATATACTTTTATCACAATGTTTTTCTCAGAGCGTGATTAGTAGCTTGGTCCTACAACTTGGATCGGGTAGCGCATGATCGTTCTCAAGTCTCAACTCTTACGAGATTGGGATGGCTCATTGGCCTTCTGACGGGTTCTAAGTTCTAACCTTTTGTTTATATTTTTGTTTCTTGTTTTTTAATGGGTGTTAAGTTCAAAAGTACTACTCCCTCCGTTCCAAAAAAATTTTCGTGTTTTGATTTTTTGGTGAAAAAAAGACATTTTTTTTACCATAAATTAAACATTATCTGAACAGATAAATGATATAAAAATTTGATATATCAAAACTATATCTTTAAATAAACCCAATTATATAAAATTTATATTATAATTAAATATACTTTTCTCACAATTTTTTTCTCAAAGTGTGATTAGTAGCTTGGTCCTACAACCTGGATTAGGTAGCGAATGATTGTTCTCAACTCTTACGTGGTTGGGATGGCTCCTTGGCCTTTTGACAGGTTCTAACTTTTTTTTTTAAAATTTTTTTCCTCTCTTAATTGGTGCTAAGTTCAAAATTAAAGTACTACTCCCTTAGGTCTAAAAAACTTTTCATATTTTGATTTTTTGGTCGAATAGAGACACATTTGATCATACATTAAACATAATCTAAACAAAAAATGATATAAAAATTTGATATATCAAAACTATATCCTAAAATAAACCAACTATATTTAATATATATTATAATTAAATATACTTTTTTCACAATTTATTGTCACTATTTGACCAAAAATTAAAATAAGAAAAGTTTTGAGATCTGGATGGAATAAAATTTAGTTCTTTTTTCTTGATTAGCAGCTTGGTCTTATACTATGGATCGGGTAGCGGATGGTCGTTCTCAACTCTTACGAGGTTGGGATGGCTCCTCGGCCTTTGACGGGGTTTAACTTTTTGTTTTTAATTTTTTCTTCTTCTTTTAATTGGTGCTAGGTTCAAAAGTACTTCGGTCAAATAGAGGCACTTCTTTGACCATACATTAAACATAATTTAAACAAATAAGTAATATAAAAATTTGATATATCAAAACTATATCCTAAAATAAGTGAATTATATTAAATTTATACTATAACAAATATACTTGTCTCACAATTTATTGTCACTATTTAACCAAAAATTAAAATAAGAAAAATTTTTAGGCCCAAATAGAATAAAATTTAATTCTTTATTCTTGACAAATCTTGTTGATCGAATTCAAAATATCACACTATAAATGAGTCGAGCTCTATTGAACGTCAGGGCAAATAAATCATGGCAAACTAGTAATTAAAAAATATTACGCCAAGGGAACAACGCTAGGTAATCATAGTGAGACAGTTTGCGCAGCTTGGCCGTACTTTGTAAATCGAGTAGCGAATGATCGTTCTCAACTCTTACGGGGTTGGGATGGCTTCTTGGCCTTCTGATGGGCTCTTTCTTTTTATTTCTATTTTTTCGTGTTTTTTAATTGATGCTAAATTCAAAAGTACTACTTCCTCCGGTCCGAAAAGTATTTCCTGTTTTGATTTTTTTGATCAAAGCGAATGATCGTTCTCAGCTCTTATGGGATTGGGATAGCTCCTTAGCCTTCTGACGAGTTCTAGATTTTTGTTTCTATTTTGTTCCTTGGCCTTGTGACATT